TCTGCTCTGCTGCTATTGCCTGGGATCTCCAGGTAACAGCATGTAGATCCATCCCCAGACCCATCTACTCTGCAGCAGATAAGGCCAGGTTCCCTAGTGGTGTTGGGGCAATGTTGAGAAACAGCAGTTCTGACCCACCTTCCCCATCTTTAGTTCTTGAGAAAGGTGCTGAGGGTGTGACCTCTGCTGCCATCCTGCTGTCTAGGGCGGTTTTAACTCAAGGCTGGGTAGACCTGCATTGTTTTCTTCTTTGAAATTCTTCAAATCCATAAATACGTGCCTAATGCGTTAGTCTTACTGCGTTTTATTTTTYGTGAATAATGTTGGCTAAGAACTCCTGTTGCTTCTCCGATTGGTTAGAAAGTCACATCATCATTCTTTAGTAAACTATGACCTATTTTCTCTGAATCTGGGCTTTTGGATGTGTGTTCTGTTCCCTGAAATGTCCTCCACTGGCCAAGATGAGGATTCCTTCAAGAAGGAGTTCAAGCGTTGCTCTATCTGAGGAATTTGTCCTCCCTGGGTCTGTGACGGACATCTCTCCTCTGAGCTCCCATGCTGCACACCTTAGTGCAGCCCACGTTCTCTGAGAAACAGCTGAAGCATCTGTGGCTACACCCAACTCTCCATCATGAGAACTTTCTCCCTGAGCTCCCAGCATCCACTTGGTGTTTGAGGACAGAAACAGTCCAGTGGAGGAGTGGCCCYGGAGTCACGCTGGGTCAGACCTTTGAAACCCCACCTGTTATAGGGAAAAAAAAATCGGTCATATAGCATGAAACTTTAAAAGGCCCACTCTTTTTCAGGGACTTCCCTGCTCCACTCAGGAAATCTCCCAAAGTTCTCGGGACATTGCAGGTTTTGAGGAAGTGAAACATCATGAAATAGCTTCTCCACGCCATTTTTGTCCTCGGTGACATTTACAGCCTGTGTGTGATCAGAAATTTGTAACTCAAATGAACTGTTGGTGATAATGAGCCATTAATACAGTCCTGATTGAACACCTTTCTCGAAGGTCACCACGCTTTACATACATTATCTAATTTGTCTCCAGAACATACCTGCAGGAGGGTAGCCAACCGCTCAGAATTCACCGTGTTCTGACAATCCAGACTTCAGTGGAGCAGATTTCCCTGCTCTGGGCCCAGTGAAGACCAAAACTACATTCAGGTTTGTAGGGCAGCAAGTGCTTTGTTAGAGCCACTGTTGATTCCCTGGGCCTGCTAGATAGGTCAGAAACCGCAGCTGCAAAAACAGAGGGAAGTCTTTCCATAATATTAGCCACAGGGCTTCAGACATCAAGTGTTAAGGGAGCTTAGAGGAAAGGAAGGGGACTGTCCCCCAGGGAATGCTACAGCCACCTTCCAGGTTTCCGTCTACGCCTTTAGTGAGTGAAGGCCCGTATGCCCAGGRCCTATGTGGGATATTTCATGGAGGAGCAGCGGGGTCTAGAGGCATCAACACTGCATTAAGAGCAGGGAGATCAGGTTTCTGATCCCAACTCTGTCGCTAATCAGGTGTGTGTTCTGAGCAAAGTCACAAATTCCTTTCAGACTTATGAATGGAGAGAATCAGGCCATATGATTTCCAGGGCCCTCCTTCAGCTCTAGCATAGACAGATGCTGCCCTCCTGGCTCCAGGGCCCTGCCGGTCCTCCACGCACTTCTCAGGCAAAGCTGCAGGCTCAGAACACCTGTCTGTGCTCCTGATCTTGCCACCAGTTTTCTTGGTGTATATATATCAAGCGCCATGATGGACTGAAAGCTCCCTGAGGGCAAGAGCTATGTCTATGTTATGTTTTTGTCCCATAGGTAACACAATGTACTTGTCCTCTCTGCTCTAACTGGTGAGTCTCATCTGACTCTCTTCAGTATAGTAACCCATGTCAGTCTTTCCCATCTTAAAAGGGAACTAATCTGCTCAAACTGGTAGTCTTTACTTATCATATTATAGGTCCCCATCAGTGTTGTTCTCCCCACTTCTCCTCCACCCCTACAATCTGTAGTTGTAGTCCCACCACTTCACAGACATTGCTTTGATAAACTCCCTAAGGACTTTTTAGAGCTAATGACACTTCAGTGTTTGCCTCATAGCCTCTTGCAGCACCTGCTTGATGGCCTCACCCTTGTTCCAGAAACTCCCCTGTCCTGGCTCCCACGGGGCCAGTTGCTCCTGCTTCTCCTGCCCCTCACACTGCCCTTTGCTCTATCGTCCTGAGACACCTATTTCCTCATGTTCTTTGCAGTTCTGTCCCTGGCTCTTTTTTCACTCTAAGGTCCCTCCCTGACAGATCTGCTAATGTCTGTGGCTTCCACAGCTGCCTCCCACAGGGGGCCCTTGAGCCCCACATGGCCAGTTTCTCCCTGCATCACCTCCCATCATATTTAGCACATCCAGACCCGAGCTCACCAGCCTCCTCCAAAACTGGTCTCTCTCATTTTCCCTGCTTGGCAGTGATCCCCTAATCTATTTGGTGGCCCAGGTCCGTAGTTCTCCTTCTCCCTCATCCCCACSACCAGCCAGCTAAGTTTAACTCTTCATCAGTGTCACCTGAACTGTTTGCAGTGCCTCTGAACTCTCCTCCCTGCATCCTCTCTGGGCTCAAATCCATCCTCCATACTGGAGCTGAAAATAACTTTTCTACATGACAAATTTTGATCCTTTGACTTTGCTTCTTCGATTGACAAAATGTCAATTCCTGAATCACAAGGCTAAGACTCAGATGCTGACCACCTTCTCAGCCCTTTCTCATCGCCTTCCTCACTCACGTGATAAGCTCTTGATGAGATGGAACTGAGCTCTTTTTTAACGTGTGACTCTTTGAATGGGGTATCCCATCCYGTCAAGGGGATAACAAGTATTACCTATGTCTGCTGCAAGTCCAAGGACAGGAAATGGATTCCACTCTTGCTGGGAAACCTTTGCCTTTTTCCCAGGCAGAAGTAAGTGCCTGCACCCATCCGTGGACTCCCTGAAATTTTGTCTTGCCTCTCTGCCAGCATTGTCACAGTGCTCAGCTGGCTGCATGTAGCCACGTTGCCCCCACCACACAGTGAACACCCCAAGGGGAGGAACGTCCTCCCTTGGCCTTGTCCCCAGGCCTTCACCTAGAGCCTGATTATTTCTCCCGAGTTTGCTGAATGGATGGACGCATGCATACTGGCAGAGTAGCTTACTCAAAGACTGTCGTCTTTCCTGAACATTCCATTTTGTCATTTTCTCCATCACTATAGGATAGATTGAGGTCATTTTCCTCAGCCCAAATCAGGGGTTTCCATAGTTTACTTCTGTCTGCTTTGTAAGGTATGTATCCCATTTTTTTCTGAAAAGACTGGCCTACTCAGGACCCCTAAACGTTCTATTCTCATTGTTGTCTCTGCTCCACAAATTGAGTCTATGAATGGATGAAATGGGGATGGAAGTGAACCCTGCATCTCAAGGCCTGTGTTCTGTGCATCAGACCATTCTGTTATGGGAAGTGAGRCTGCTTGGAATTATTTAGCTTCTTACCCCTGAATAGCCCTCCCTCTTCCTTCTTGTGTTCTGAAGACCCTGGCAGACGTCAGGTTTTCACAGACCACCTGATAATAATTTCCCATCATATAAGTGCCAGAGCCGAGTACCATTCCCCCTTTCATTTAAATTAGATAAAACCCTGAGCTGTGGCTTGCGAGTGATGGAAGTCCACTGGGGAAATTAAAGGTTCAGAGAGAACGGGCCCCATTATAATAAAAAGCGTTTGCACCGCCAGTGATTCCATCTACCCTGTGGCTTCTGTGTTCCTTGGGGTGGGATGAAATATGAAGCAAAAGGACCTCTGAAAGTAGTTTGAGGAATTTATTTTAATTGGAAATGGTGGTAGCATTCTGCACTTGGCGTGAACTGTAGATCATGCACAGTGGTGGGATCAGTTTTGTATAAAGAGCCATAGAGCGTCCAGGCCACGATGCAGGAGCTCAGCCCTGTCCTGGCAAGTTCTTTCTACCCCTGCATGTGTACTGATCGTGATCAGAGGCCAGTGGTCCCTCTCACCCACCTGTGTTACTTCCTTCCCTCCTCCCTCCCTCCCTCCCTCCAGTCTCTCTATGGCATGTGTACTGATTGTGATCAGAGGCCAGGGGTCCTTCTCACCCACCTGTGTTACTTCCTTCCCTCCTCCCTCCCTCTCTCCCTCCCTCCCTCCCTCCAGTCTCTCCATGACTCTACACAGCTAGTCTATGCTAGCATTTAATCAGTATATAATGGCATCTAAATCAATCAACTGCTCAACCTATAAATTACTCAGAACTATGAGACCTGGGAAAAATTCATGAAGTAGATGTACAGAATGGCCAGGGTAGGAACAAATATAATCTGCACTTAAACTCCTAATAGTACAATCACAGCAGCTGATTTCTGTTGGCACATCTTATGTATATATTCTCATTCCATCTCAAACCTTTTATACAGGTGTTCTCTCCATCTCACAAATGAGGAGACTGAAGCTCAGAGCAGTTAAGACATTGGCCCAAGGTCATGTAGCTATTAACAAGTGACAGAACCAGATGTTTCTACCACATAGAGGCAGAAGCTGTATTGAGTGGTTTTGAACTCAAGTCTGACTCAAAAGCCCAAGCTTTCAAGTGTGATGTTACAGTGCCCCCTGACTGAAAATGGTTACATTCTTGAACTAAAAACTTGGATTTGTTTTTTAACATAGGTAATTCTGTCTGGGAGAAGTCTTATCATTAATTCCAAACCCTGGTAATGGTAGCAAGGTATCAGTAATGAAGTTGAGGGCTGGGATTGTGGCTCAGTGGTAGAGCGCTTGCCTAGCRTGGGCAGGACCCAGGTTCGATCCTTAGCACCACATAAAAATAAATAAATAAAGGCATTRTGTTGTGTCCAAATTTTTTTTTTAAATTTAAAAAAATAATAATGAAGTTGAATCGTATCAGATGTTGTAGACTGCTTTTACAGTTGTTCAATCTGTCTTTACTTTCTCACTTTTGTATTTTTAGATGCATCATCCCATTCAGATGAAACCTGCAGATAGTGAAAAGTCAAACGGTAGGTGGTAACCAACTGTTTCCTTTAATAATGTCTGCTTCTTTAAGTTAAAAAGTCAGATGGGGAAGGGAGGAGCCAGTCCCAGCAGCTTTATTCCTCGGGAAGGTGGAGCTCATTGCTCTGGGAGACTTCCACGGTGGTCAGCACATCTGGAGCAATGCACACTCCAGTTCCTAATCTTATTTATCTCTGTTGTAAAGACTTCTGCAATTTTGCTATAAGGGGTGGTTCTCCGTGTCCTGCTTGGGGGCATGCCCTTTGTGATGGTTTTGTGGCATTTGGCACTTACTCAGTATCTTTCCCAATGAAACACAGGGAGCCCAATGGGTGGCAGATGGCGTGAGTGGGGAAGGAATTGCCCATTAAAAATTAGGCAACTTTTTTATGGGTTTTTTTTTTTTTGTCTTTTCCATTTGTTCTTCTTTAACTATCTTATTGCAGTCTTCTCTAAATTATACCAATACATTTGCAGCAGAATTCTGTCTGCTGATTAAATAAAAGTTAAAAAAATATATATGCATTTGATGAGATTCATGAATAATTGGGATTTGCCTCTCCAAGACCCTGGAGGGTTGATAGCCCACATTTCTGTCTTAAGTTTTTGCTTCCATTTCTACAAACCTTCTGTCCCTGTTTTGTTCTTTTAATTTACTGAAATGTATGTTAAAAGAATCATCTACCTTCTTAGACCACAGAGCTCCTCTGTCCCACAAGACTGACATAATCAGCACCGTTTCCTTCCACCAGCCAGTTTTGTACCTCATTAATTAGTAATCAGGGCAGAAGCCACGCACTTAGAGATCTACATATCTGCAAATGTAAATTATGATTGGGCTCTAAATCTCTCCACAAGGTATTTTTTTGCTAATTGTAGCACATCCATTTTCTGGCTTCTTCACAGAATAGAAAGTTTTGAAGGAGCTTCCAAGTCTCCATGTGATACCGCCCAGCCCTTGGTTTGTCCCAGCTTCCCCCCTCTTGGGGAGCGGACTCAAGTGCCTCCACCCACTGTCTTCTGAGCCCTGTGCTTTGAGTAGTGTGCATTCCCTTTATCTTCCTGTACTGCTTCAGCCATGGCCATGGCCCTTAGTGCCAGAGGTCTGAGCCCTGATGCTGCTTTGCTTGGAGACCATGATCAAGTCGCTCCATTTCCTCACTCAGCAGTTATCCCTTGACCACTTTCTTTGTGCTGGGCGTGTTGCTAGGGGCAGAGGGTGCAGCAGTGAGTTTGAAGAAGAGACGACTTCAAGAGACTGTGTCCCTGACCTTACGGAATATGCATTTGGTCTACTGGTTCAAGTACATGGCACTTTGAATCTCCTCATTCATACAATGAGAACGGTGGTAACGAGCTCACATAGGTTGGATTCCAACCCCCTCCTTCCAGAGACTCAAGTGAAATATTTGTAACATTCCTGGTGATAGATCCCTTCCATAAAATGCTAATTATTATTATCACCTGGAGATACCCCTGGCTTTATATGGCTCTTGGCTGAACATGGTACCTACATAGAAGGCCTTTTTCTGTGTGGATTCCTGGGAGTTCCTTTGCCCCAAGGGACCTGCCCAAAGCTTGCTGTCTTTACTGGCAAACTGGAGAGATGAATCTTGAGTTTGTGGGATGAATCCCCTCAGAGCTGGTCTTCTCAGAACTTCTGGCCCCCAAGAGATGGTCCCTGTCCTTTGGCCCCATTATTTTCTAAACTATGTCAGGACAAGGGCCATGGAATGAAAGTCTCTGAGAAAGGATCTGCTTTACTTCTGAGCCTGGGGTTGTATTCATGACAACATGAAGCAGCTTCTTCTGTACTTTCCGCTGTGCCTGTGCACAACCTGACTGAGGATTCCTGTCCACTGACAAGCTGCCTGGAGTTCTGAGTGTTTTGTTGCTCTAGCTGTGAGGTGGCTACTCTGGACACAGGGAATAATGTTTGCTTTGGTTCTAGAACCACAGCAACAGAATAAAACCAGCATGTTATAGGTGCCTCCAGTTTTATGTGATCTCAAAAGCCAAGGAACACTAGGCACCGTTACTGCTAGGTTAAGAAAGTACCTGAAAGTGTCCCTCGTTGAGAAGCAGCATTAGGGTAGCAGGCAAGAACTGTTTCCAGAAGTCTGAGTTCGACTCCTGGCTCTGCGATCACTAGCCATGTTCTTGGGCAAGACACTTGACTTCACTCTGCCTCAACGGCTTCACCAGAATGAAGTATGAACTCTTGGGTCATGCCTGACTTAATGATTGGTAGTTACCCAAATTGACATCTACAAAAATCTTAGCAGAATACCTGGCACATGGTGAATATTCAGCATAATTCCACTAGCCAAGGGAGATGTTTTGGTGTGTTCTAAGTGACAGCAGCTGACATGTCTAAACTTAGGCCATTCATCCCACATGGTATATAAAACAAGAACCCCCCAAACCTTGCAGTGGAACCAGTTCTCCCTTTGCTTTGTAGGATGATCTCCATTTTCTGAATTTCTAGTCAGAAAAGCCAAAAGATATAAATGAACTGAAAGCTACATTTAAAGGGTTCCGCCTTACAGAGGCTCAAATGGAACCACACCTTGTACACACATGAACAGGTTTCATGATTCCCTTTGGCTCTGATTTAGGAATCAGAAGAAATGTATAATTTTCTAAAGCAAGTGATAAAAGCTGCAGCACTTTCTGATTCCACAAGGCATTTTTGACAGGTAAGCATAGTTTGAAAAGCTCAAAGAGCACAAAGATTTCTTTGGCTCGGATGCTCTAAATAGCTCCTGTAGCTGTGAAAGAAGTATAACGAGCTCTAATTGCACTTTTATTGAGTTTGCTGACATTTATGCACAGCACAAAGGACTCATCACAGTTAGACAGTTACTGTCTTCATTATCTGTGTTCAGATTTCTGAAACTTTGTTATTTGCTGAGCAAGAAAGGGCTGCTAATCACAGATCAATTAGTGATGGACAAATGAATTCCAGAAAGCAATCACCCTTTGAAGCCCATATCCATCTAGAGATTCTGATAAAGGGAAACCCTCTGTGGTGAGCCCAGAAATGTTAGGTTGACCTTGGATCAGCCCTAATACTTCCAGATTCTACTGAACAGATTCCTAAATCTCCAGGGCTTCCTGTAGCCGCTCTCTCAGTTGGCTCTGATTTAAGCTGCAGCCTCTAGCACATTCTTACAAACTCACCACATTTTGCTTCCACCCGTGTGCTTCTACTGTGCCAGGTGTCCAAAAGAAAAGCAAAAATCCAATTCTAAAAAAGGTGTTGGGACCATTAAGAAGRGCACATTGAAATATCCAATTATCAGTAGACTCCAACTTTTTTGCTGTTTCTTCATTTTTGTTTTATTTTCATTGAAGAAATCTGAGTGATGGGTGTGGATTTGAGGAGGGTGTGGATTTAGCACAAACATAATTACTGTTTCTGTGAGCCACCTATACAACTATATATATATATCATCCAGCTTTGACTCCTGTCTTGCTGTACAGTAGATGGTACCAGCTGTGCAAGACTTTAATGCAGTTGCTAAAGCCAGTCTCACAGTGAGGGATGAAGGAGCATGGAGGTTGCCTCAGGTCCCATGCCTGGGTCTCTGACTGGAGCCAGTGTTGACTTGGGCCGTGCTTCTTTGAGAACAGGATTGTTACCACTCAGCAGACAGAGCATCTAAATCCACCCTGCTTTAACCTTCCAACCTCACGACTTGTCAAGGGTCCTTGAGGCCTAGGATCCAGAAATAACCATTTAAGACCACTGTCTCTTTTTTTCAAGGCCTCCCAAACCTCCAGTATCTGTGCATCCAGTTTAAAGCCAGCCGGAGGAGTCCAGATAACTAAATATTGTCGGGGAAGGGTAAAGACCCGAAAGCCTCCATCAAAAACAGGATCACAGGGGKCTTCCGTCCAGTTACTTTCTGATTTTACTGGAAGATGAAGAAATAATTTTGAAATTCAAAGTGGAGAGACTCACAGATTTGGAGGCAGTAATTAAATGCCATATGTTAGCACTAACACATTGAAAAGTTGTTAATTAATTCAGGCAGCCCCGAATCCAGGTGTGACTTTGACAGATTGTGCACCAGGGTGTTAGCACAGACTTACAATTAGAGATTTTTTTTTTTAAATGAAGTTTCTATTCCCCTAACTTTAAAAAGTCACCCTTATACTTAAAATGTTAACCCTTTCTCACTATGCCATGGAGAAGTACTTCCAGGTGACCACTGGTGTGGAACCCTTCCTTCTGCCATTGTTAGGGGTGATGGAGCCCCCGATACCTAGAGATATGTCCCTGTGCTCCTTCAGTGGCTGTCCTAGAGGAAATAACTTTTCCCCTAGGGGCAGGGAACTTWCCTTTTCATTGTTTTGGGKTTTTTTTTCCCCCCTTTTAATTCCCCTAAAATACCTGGCAGACTATTGCAAATACAGTAGGTTCAGTTAAGTAATCCATATCCTAATAGATTAAAAGAAATAATTGAGACACTTACTGCCCATGAATATTTAGGAAAAACTCACCAGCAAAGTCATCAAAAAAAACGATGAAAAATTTAATTGAATTCAAGATATTTATGCTTATTTAAAATGTTTACAAAGCTGTTAGGGATCTTTAGAATGGGAATCCTGGGAATTAATTTTATGAATACATTTTTCCTGGAAAACTGGAAAAACTCAGTGGAGAGGAAAGCAGAATATAATTGGTCATAGCCATTTATCTATTAAAGCATACAGTGACCCAACTGTGAAAAGCCCAGAGCAACTTGGGCAACTAGAAGATGTGAATGTCCAGCTTCTTTTGTGAGCCCACCTGGTGCAGAGAAGGAATTTAGCCTTTAGATTAGCATATATATGGGATGATGTGGGTTTCCTTTCCCCCCACCAATCCGAGGCCTCACACATGCTAGGCAAGTGTTCTACCACTGAGCCACAAATTAGCCCAGTACTTGTTTTTTAAAATTAGACTTGTTTTCCTTCTCACTGCCTGGCTGAGTTTATCCTTAGTGATGGTTGRGAAGTTAGGAATCCCTCATAAGTGCTTTCCATATTCTTAATATTCATCTTAGAAAAAAATCAGTTTTAGCTTAGGAGCTGCATGTTTAATTTACTACAACATCACCCTGGAGCTCAAACCTGTGAATTATTTTAGTTAAAYTCCACAGTTATAGGCTTACCAGTCAAACCAGGGACCAAATGAGAATTTTTCATTTGTTTTTGTGTAAAAGAACTAAAAATCAGATTCTTTAAGGTAAGAAGAAATACATCAGGACTTTTGTTTGTTTTAATTCTCATGAAGACACTRGGCATAGTTTCATGGAAATGAGAGTCCAGAGGTGAGAGGGAAGAAGTAGTAAGAACTGCAAACTAGAAGTCTTTCCCTCCCTCCTCTGCCCCATTTCAGCCAGTTCTACCCATCTCCTCAAGCACGTCCTACATGGCCACAGTCCTCATGTGTGAAGGAGTCCAGGCATCATAGCATGCTGACCTTGGAGCCTACAAAGTCTCCTTCATAAAGAAAGCTCCTGTGGAGCATATGGTGTTTCTAAAGCTTAGCTTGCCCTCGGCTACTTGGCTTTTGCCAGTTCACAGTAGACCACTGGTACTTCACTTACTATAAAGGTAGAAAAAAGTATTTCACTTGAAAATTTTTATCTAAATAAGGGGAGTCAGGTTGTAAACAGCCTCTCTCCCAAGAATCAGAACCCGTCACCTCTGTAGCTMATGTCTCCTTTGCATCTCCAACATGAGCAATGAACTTTGACTGTCTGATGCTTCCCATCCCTTGAGCACCTCCTCTTCAGATGAAGCTGGAGCCAGTGTTATTGTACTTAAGTCAGGCTGCTTTCCTCCATCCACCTCAAAGACAGTCTCTTAGTCCTGTCTCAGTACCTTATTCTCCCAGCCCCTGCTAGTTTAGGCAGACCCTGCCTGTGCTTCTCGGGATCCAGTTTGAATGGACCTTCAAAGAACCCTAACATTTCTCAGTTATCTTAGGAGCTATCACAGATACGGAGAGTCTAGGTGGAAGGGATTCTGCATACCACTCTGGTGTCGCCATCATCCCCAGCCCAAATGCTTCTGTCAGTCCAAGCATATAGCTGGGCCATCATGTTCATTGCTCATGTTTGAGGTRCAAAGGAGACATGAGCTACAGAGAAGGCATTCTCTACAATGCTTAGGAAAAAGAATAGCGTATAAACCTTCATCTTATGAATGACAGGACTGAGGTCCTAGAAGTCAGGTAGTCCCCAAGGTCTCCAAGGTTGCACATCAGGTTTAAGGGCAGCACTGGAACTAGAACCTTTGTCTCCCAGTCACAGCCACTGATGTTCTCCTTAAATCTTATCTGCTCCCTCTGAGCTTAGAAGAAACACAGGAGAGGGAAGAGGACACTGGGCTGGGAGTAGGAAACTGGGTTGTGGTCCAGGGTGGACTGACCCTAGGCAAGACCCTTCCTCCTGCCAAGGCCTCAGGGATCTGTCTCAGAGATGGACAAGACAAAATGTCTCTCGGGTCTCCTGTTTCCAGTCTGGGATTCTGTGACAAAGAACATGTAGCTGTCTCATTTAGRGTCTAGGTTCACCAGAGTTATAGTAGTTACGTGGGGCTTTTAAACTTCAATCAACCTTTCCTCGATAACACTAGCCCCCTTTAAAGGGCCCTTGTGGTCACAYGTACCTTTAGCTGAGTACTGGACAGCACAATTGTGGGACTTCTGGGTCACTGCTGAGGGTTCAGCCAGAGAGAGCAGCTTCAGCGTGGCCCACCAAGTTACACCACTGTCCCATGAACAGACCTCCCCAGGGACCACACCACGAATTTTAACTTGTGTTCCAGAAGCAGCCGGCCCCCATAAGTCTAGCGTAAATATTTATTGGTTAAGTGAAAATGAGATACTGTCCAGGTAAGAACTATATAAAAAAAAAAAAAAAACAGAAATAAAAGCCAATTGAATAGCAGTGATGTAGTTATGACTCGGGTTCAGAACAGAGGTTTGTGCACAGCACCTTGGAACAGCACCCTTCCCCTAGGCCAGGGTTCTCCGTGGTCTGAGGGTGACTGGCCAGCCTTTTTTCATTCTTCTTCTTCTTCTTCTTCTTCTTCTTCTTTTTAATTGAAATGAAACAATGGAAAATAAGCAGGACTTCTCCCCACAGGCTTCTATGATGCCCTAAAAAAAGGTCTGTCTCCTAAAAAAGCTTCCACGCACTGTCCTGAAATGAGTTATAACCCTGCCTTTCAGGCTAAATGTAAGTCACATGTCCTGAGGACAAGCGTGGAGATTTTCAGGAAAATTTCCCAGATCATCTAAAGTAAAACTTGCCTCATCTTTCCCTCGTCACATTCCCATTTGCACATCTTGTCATGATCCCCAAATGCATCTCTCTGTCCTTCAAGAATCCTTCTTTCAAGTGGCTGGAATAGTGGCAGTCCTTTCTCCTYCTTCTTTTCTCAAGGTTTCACCCCATCGTGGACCATCAAGGTGATTCTCAGGTAGCAGTTGCCYGTTCTTTTCTCTCCTTGCTAGAATGGCTGCTGGGACCCAGGTGTGGAACCTAGTCAGCGCTCCACAGCCATGGGCTAGACTGTCCCAGTCTGCAGAGAAGCAGGACTCTAGGATCTCTTATTCCTCTCCACATCAGTGAGGACTAAGGTTTTAGGAACAGGGGAGAAAGAATGTTTTCTTCCCTTTAGAGTCTTTGTTGATGAAGTTCCATTTATTGATCACAKCATTTGCTCCTACTGTTTTCCCTCTCCTGAACTTTATCTTTCCYTGTCATTAGAGTTAAAAGAACATCTACAAAAACCCCAAACTAAAATCTGCATCCAAAAACTCTGTGAAATGCGTGGCATTTAGCAGTTACATCGTAATCCTAGCCAACACCTGGTGTTTGTGAAAGGGACCTCCCAGGGTTCTGAGCCCTAAGAAGATGTCTGTATTAGCAAGAGCAGGCTTGCMGAGAGGTGAAGCATTTGGGAGGGCAAGGTGAAGGGACAGGCGGGATGAGGTGCAGGGTGGAGAAAGAAGACAAGCTGGGGTTCCGACTTAGCCTTAGGACTGTGATCCATCTCGCCTGGCAGGGTCCTGGTTTGCTGTAGTAGCAAAGCATTGATTACAAGAAAAAAAGATGAAGTGGGCTTTTCTCATTCATTATTTTCATCTCCTAGCCGTGGAAGACAGAAAACTGTTCATAGGAATGGTTTCGAAGAAATGTAATGAGAACGATATCAGAGTGATGTTTTCTCCATTTGGCCAGATCGAAGAATGCCGGATTCTCCGGGGACCCGACGGGCTGAGTCGAGGTGAGTGTGCCTTGTATGAAGCCTCTTTCCTTAAGTGCTAATTGGAGCTCTGTGTCACAGTCAAGATAGATGTAGGCACCGCGTTCAGCAGGAGGTCACTGTGTAATACGTCCCATGTGATGAAGTTATCCAGCCTGAACTTTTTCACAGTAGCTGAAGTGATCACCTTGTACTTCCCAGGTAGAGAAGGTCTGAGTGCCAGCATATTAGCTCAGGTCACCACTGTCACAGGGGAAGCTGACGGGCTGCCCTGTTACTGCACATCCCTTTTCAACCTCAAATTGAAGTAGATTTTGAGGGGTGAGGAGATGTGGAGGGTGAGAACGGCTTTGTGTGTTTCCGCCTTAGTCTTCTGGCTGTCTGCCTGTGCCTGAAGGAAACCGTAAGGGGATGTTCCTCTTATCAGCCATCCAAGCCAAGAAGCAGTGTCACGGCTCATGTGCAGGGCAGGACAGATACGGGCTCCGTGTAACTGGGTCTGTCCAAGGTTCAAAGAGTGAAGTCCCTGGAGTCCCCAGCCCAGGACAGAAAAAYGCCTGCCCTGAAGAAGATTGTTGGCTCTCCTTTGCTACCATGATGGAAGCAAAAGTTGTGGCTGGGAGCCAGGATGAAGACCAGTGTTTTTTCAGCAACTCTAGAAAATAGCTGGAATTGGCCGTTCTCTTCCCACGTCTGCCTCCTCCTTAACAAGACCACACAAACCTCCTTCCCTCAACCACACACGACGGTTGACATGAGTGTTAACAGTTGTCTGACTGCAGTTTTCAGACCAATCTGAAGTGGAAACCTATGTGCAAAACATTTTTCAGGTTTGTTTTTTTTTTTTTAAGAAATCCACATTTTTTGAAACATGGGGAGGTTTTCCTTCTCTTCTTAGCGCAGTTCCCAGTGCAGTTTCCATCGGGCACATTAGGAACTGTGTTCATTTTCAAGTTCTGGTTCTGGGCCATCAGTAGCACCCAAGCCACATGCAGAAAGAAAAAGTTGGGCCGTAAGTATCAAGGTGCCAATGTTTCCCCATCTCAATAGTTTTACCTAATTCAAGCACCAAGCGAGGAAGAACATTTGGGTTTTTTGGGTTTTGTTTTGTTTTGTTTTGTTTTTTGACATAATGCTTCATGATGTCAGCTGCTAGAATTGAGAATTGAAGGCCCAGAGAACAAAAGTTCTACTTACATCTACCTCCAGAGCCCCAAAATGGAGGTAGTCTAGAGGAAAACTCAGAGGAGGCAGAGCAGAACCCAGATTTGGATTCCTGAATTTTCTTTGCAAAGTGGCTTAAAGTGGGGGGATCAAAAAGGGCAGCAAGGAAATCGCAGTTTAGCATTCTCTGACACTTCTGAAATGCTGGTTATTTAACCCTCGCTTCAAAGAAGTGATTTTCTAAAAGTTGAACAGGATATTAAGTAGAATACCTAAATGGCAGATCCAGTGCCTGAGGCTCCTCTGTACCTGTGCTGCTGCCACTGTCAACCAGAATTGTCCTTCGTTGTGATAGACACAGGTCATCAGGAGTGCCATCCTGGCCAGGCCAACTCTTATCACACCTGGCYATCGGATTGTCCTGCTGTCATTTTGTTTATGTAAACATCTCCATCCACACACTCAGGCAGACAATACCATGAGGCCTGGCACAGTGGCACATGCCTATAATCCCAGCAACTTGGGAGGCTGAGGCAGGAGATTTGCAATTTCAAAGCTGGCCTCAGCATCTTAACAAGGCCCTAAGMAACTCAGCTAGATCATGTCTCTAAATAAAAGATTTGAAAAGGGCTAGGGAATGTTGCTCAGTGGTTAAGCACCCCTGGTTTCAATTCCCAACACCAAAAARAATAAATCAAAATAAAAAGAATACACTATGAAGAGACAGTGTAGCCAAGTGAGGGAGGAAGGTTGTAGGAAAGACATGATGACGTTTTTGTGATCCTCTTTTGGCTGCTGGTTTAATTGGAATCCCTAGCCCCTGCTGCTGTTATTCTCAGTCCCATGTTAGCAAAGTTGCATTTTTCATTCCCCAATGTATAAAACATGGAGAAAGGACAAAAAAGGAGGCCCTTAAAGTAATCATAGTGAGAATTATGGAAGCTTAGAGCTCACTGACCCCAAGTTCCAGTCTGACAYGACAGGTGACCTTAGTTGATTCCTTTTCCTAGCTCTATTCCTCAGTTTCCCATGTGTTATTAATGATAGCAGGAAAATCTCTGCCCTGCTCCTCTTGTAGGGAGTCACTGCTCGCTGGGGTGGTGGCCTCACTGGGGTGGTGGCTTAGTAGATAGCTAGGAGCTGAAGTGCTGGGTTCTACTCAGCTCGGCCCATTTCACCTGGCTCCCATGTCACTGTGTCCCTCTGTCCTGTGGGGACAGGAATGATCAGCACTGCTGCCCCATGGCATCGAGAGCTCCCGGAGCACACATTAGCTCTTTCTGCACACAGGATTTGAAAGCAGCCACGACTTCCATGGGAAAGAGCAGGACACACGTATTTAAAAGGAGAACTTAGCTAATTTGATGTGCCATTTGGTTGATTAGCCAGCACTTGACACCAGAAGCAGCCTGTTTCTGAAACAAGTTGTGGGAGCCCACTCATCAATATTTTATGCAAATGCTGGCCCCGATGTAAAGAGGAGAGTACCCCTCCCCCCTTCATTTTAACGGAAAAATAATTTCTGGTGAACTGATGAGAATTCCCTAATGGAAAAAAGAAAATACTCATTTATAACCATTTGTTCTGAAATATAAAGACAGACAGTGGCACTTTTTTTCAACTAGTAGGACCCAGGGACTCCTGGTTACAGGGGCCTGCTCCTGAATCAGTGTATTTTTTAAAAGAACAATTCTCTTCCTGCTACTATTTTGCTTTCATTAAAGAATTTCAGTTTTCAATCAAATATTGATGAGTGCCTCCCATTAACGGTGTCGCAGATAAAGGGCGCTCAGCATTTCTTTTTCCCAATGTCTATTGCTCCGCTATTTAGAAAATAAATGAAAATTAAGTGACACAAGCTTGGCTGCCCTGAAAAGCACCTCCTGAAATCAAACCACGTTATAAACTAYGCAGTAAAAAAGTTCTTAAATCAGAATATTTGGTTAGGAGAGTGAGGTGCAGCCCAGTGGTTGGTTGCTCCTTTCCCTGCTTTTGCGCACTTCAACTGTAGCAATGGAAACAAAGGGAGCATTTAGCCTCACTGGCTCCCCCATGGGTTCCCATGTCATTTCTTCGGGCACATCAGTAGTCTCAGCTCCTCCCTAGTATGCATTACGCTGAGGTTTCCCAGGCTTGCTGACACTTATCCTCACTGCATCAGCATGGAGGACCAACAGAGCCCACAGATGTACCTGTCACACCCTGCTAGACCTTAAATTAGAGTCACTGTCTTTTTTTTAAAAAAAAAATAATAATTATCATCTACACCTTGGACAGAAAGATTATTTTTAAAGTCCCATTTCTGGTCACCAGCCCCAGCCCCACCCCACCTTCCAGGGCAGTAATCTCAGGAAATGGTGGCAACTTGCTTCTTGAAAACCACTGAGCACCTGCCAAGCACATGAAGCTCCTCTGCGAGGTTAGGACTCCGCCCCACTTTAGACAATCTACCCACATCCAAGTACCCATCTCCCCTTGGGGGTGGTAACCCATTCTTTCTGCCCTCTCTTCTGTTTCTTCTGTTTTGGAAAACATGGTTTGTGGTGCTTTCAGGAAGCTTCATGATACTCAGACTCCTGTGCATGGCAGCGTGACCTCTCGAGGCCTGCTGCGRGGAACCTTCACTGCAAACACCAGCAGGAAACCACAGGCCCACCCATGGCAATCCAAACGAGATGTTTGCTCACAAAAGCAAAACTCGGTTTCTAAACAAGTGTATTGGTCTGACATTGTCAGCTTAGCATGTTGATTTCCTAACGCATCCATGTTCTCACCCATAATCCTACAGTCAGAATGAGCTGTCTAGGTACATCCTACAAAGTTTTCTGTACTGTAGCAGTTGAATTATCTGTAATGTGGAGACAGTGAAGAAATTTATTTCATTTTTCATTCCCATAAACTRTAGTCAAATCTTCACTACCATTTAAGGTAACTTTCTGCTTGTTTAAGAATATTCCAGCTGTGTTTATGGTGTTCCAACATTCCCCTGCCAAAACCCTTGACAAATGAATTGGCAATATTTGCGGGGATGTTGGAGAGCACAGGCTGGAGTTAGCCATTAAATCCTCATCTGTTTTTGTTGTATCTGATCAAGATGTTAGGACAGGGCTTTTGACTGCCCAAACATCTACATGGAGAAGACTCAGTTTTGATTACGTTAGCCCTGTCCACAYAATACCTAAACATTCAGATATGTGGAAACTTTTTATCACATACTTCCTRGAGTATTGACTGCATTTTGCCATCTTGTTCTGAATTCAATCTTCCAACCTCATCTCAGTGATGAGATCTTGCCAGCTATTAAATAGGTTGAGGTGCCATAATGAAGAACATCTCCATGCCAGTGTTAATAAACTAACCCAACACTGGGGCTGGTGCAGTAGAGGACTAATTTTTATGTCCCACTATTATGCTGATACCATGTGTTCAGTCAACCYTACCACCACTACAATGATCCAATAAGAAAAATCGACTGCATTAATGCCTTTGTTCAACTGAGAATTAATAAACACCTTTCCATAGGTTAAAATCTCTTCCTTGCTGCACAAGTTACTTTAAATTATATTTCTTTCAGTTGAAATGTAGCAGGCTGCCACACCTTTTTCACAGAAGTAGCAAAAAAAAAAAAAAAAGCAAGAAGCCCTGACATTGCTTGTGTTTTTAACAGTACCTGTACTGTACTTTTTTTTCCTTTTTTTTTTTTTTTTTTTTTGGTGTGGAGCAAGAATTCATAGTTCTGTAAAATTCTCTTGCAGCTGAAAGAAAGGGTAGAACACCTGAGTTAAGATACCCTTTCAATTGAAATGACAAGTGTAATAGATGTGTTCCAGAATCTTCTCTGTGACAGGGCTACGTGCTTTCCTTAGACCCTGTCTGTAGGAGGAAATTACTTTGTGAAACCTTTCCCCAGTCAATCATCCATCTGTTTTAGCAGCAAGAAGGCAACCTCATCGAAATAAAAGGAATTCAACTCCTTTCATTCCTATTAGTAATTTCAGAGTAAATTAACAGGTTGGCCACAGTTATAGGTGAATTTTATTTATTTATTTATTTWTTGCTGTTGTGCATCTGAAGGTTCTAATACAGAAGGTTCTAATAATTGCATATTCACACAAATTCATACCCAAACCAAAAAAAGGAAAAAAAAAAAAAAAGAAAGAAAGAAATGCAGCTTTGTTATTTTGAACTTGTACTTTTTACCCCCAGTCCAATTTCTCCAGCATTTTAGTTGTTAGGGAATTGATGGCTGAGCTAGTACACTCAACAGTCCAAAACAGCTAAGGGCCAGCACTACAGGATCAGAGTGGTAACCTCTCAAGACTCAGAAACTTCCACCACCCAGAAGAGAGGACCAATTTTGACTTACTTCTTTCCAATGGAAAACCATCTAATTAGCTTGTGAGAAAAAGCCAGCAGCCAGTTACAATGGTAGAAGCTCACGTGACCCCCTGTTCTTAAAAAGCCACAGATTAGAGGCCTAATCCTAAAGCCACCACTGTGTTTTCAGTGGTATTGAAAGAAAAATTAAAATTCTATCCCTAGKACTACCGTGATCTCCTGTTTTAGTGAAATTACAAAGGTTAACAARCCACTCTTCCAAGAAACATTTGGTTCTGAAGTTGCCCTTCGTCCAATGTGGCATAGTGAGTGCGTTTTCAACATGTACTCCCACTTTATAAATGACASGGTAATTTTTTCTCTTAAGTAATTGAGCAGAGCACACAAGTACAGAACTTGACAGAAGCCCCTAAGGAGACAGCTCCTCTCACTGCACCACTGCCAATAGAATAAAAAGGTTAAAGAAGTCATCAGATTTGTCAGATCAGTTTTTGGATGGGGTAAGGATTGTATAATGAGAAGCATCAGTCAAGTTTTTAATTGCAGGTTTCATAGAGAAAAGGGCAATGGTTCAAGTTTGTAGAGATTTAATTTTATTGTTCTATTGCTAATACTTTTCTTCTGAGACCTGCTAATTGCTTTATCTTTCTCACTAAGTTACTTACAAAAGTTCTGCTTGTATGAAATTATGGTAAATGCATAAACTATGCCTTATTGATTCTTGTTGACATTTTACATGTTTTTAATGCATTTTTAACCTCCAATTGGAAACTGTCAGTTTGGCCCATGTGCCTGGATAATAAGAGCAAATGAAGTAAATGTCACTATCTTTTTGACTATTAAAAGTAGAATTGGTCCAGGCTTCGCATGGTTTCAAATGTGTCTCCATTAGATGATTTGCTTTCGCCTCCATTGTACTYTCAAGGCAAGAAGTTAAAAGAAAAAGAGAAATATCTTAGCATTATTTCCTCTGTATAATGTTGGTGATGATCATAACATTTTTGGAGAGAGATTACTTTGAAACAGATGGTAAATTTGAGACTATAATTTTAGACCTTCAGCATCAATATGGACGCCAGGAGAGGTACTGTCATCTGTCTCACACTCTATTACCCACATCGTCTAGATGCCTTAGAGAAGGCCACCAAATTGCTTTTATTGATGACAAAGGCTGCAGTCAGCCTAGGTGCAGGCAGCAYGTTTAAATAGTAAGCTTCATCAGTACTCTCCTGTCAGAGAACTAGGAGACGGCTCACATCCATGGCGAGTAGACTTCATTCTGATTTCTTCAGGCCCTCTTAATCGGGAGGTGAATGCAAGATGAATTTCCCATGTACAGAGAGTTTTTGTGTATGATTTTACAGTATGATGCAAAAAAAAAAAAGGAAAAAAAATGCATTGACTTATTTTCATGACTGGATGTCATTGTGCGTTGGGGGTAGTGGGCAGGCACTGCTTTCTCTTAATACTGTTTGATTAAAAGGTGCTACGACAGTATTGACTTGATAATCTCACCAGGTACACATGCAGAGCAAAAGAAGAAAACATGTTTTATGGCTCACAAATTGATTTACATAAACCAAACAATCTGCTGGTTGTTTGAATRTAGAATGTTCTATTTTGCTTATTGGCCACAGGGGCAACAATCTCWTATTGTTGATGCCAGATTTCTGCTTTCATGCATTCACTCTGAAATGACAATAGACTTCAGCCTCTCAGTGTTTAGATCTGCTTCATTTGGAAATCTTTTAAGTAGTAATAATAATAATGTTTTGAGGAAATTGAGTGGAACACTAAATTATTCTCTGATACCTAAGTTCAAACTGTGCAAGGCTAAAGAAGCTGAAAATCAATGCACTTTTAAAGTCATTAGAGATCATAAGTGAAATAAGTCTGTATTGCTTTAGCGAAGCTTTTAGTGTGCTGTGGTATTATTATAAAATCAGCCTGAATCTGCATTAATTTCACAGTCTTTTTCTCTAAGAAGCCCAAGGGTGTATGATGAATAAAATGTAAATTTCAGAAGGCAGTGTTTTTATTAGTGCAAAGGGCAATGAGCCGTGTAGTTGGAGCAGTGACCTGCATGGTGGCCAATGCCGCTTACAAGAAGCTGGAACTGGCACCATAGATTCTAGTTATTTAAGAGCACAGTAAAAATTAACATGGGAAGCTTTGCAGGTCTCACAGTAGACATTCAGAGGAATGTGCATTGTCTTGTGTATGTTAGATTGTAGATCGAGTCTCTCTGATTTTAGAAAGTCACAACTTTGAAACACCATAAAGGTTTTCATACAAACAAATCCAATGCAAACTTTATAATTTGACTTTATACACACTATTGAATATTCTCAGAGTAATAGTGCATTGGTTTTTGTTAATAATAAGTCATCCATAATGGATTTGATATATTSGTTTGCATTTGAATAGCATCAACTTATATTCTTATGTATTGATTTTTTTARCTACCCAGTAGAAATTAAATATATTTATTTGCTGATATWTTGAACTCTTGAAATTTACTAGTTTGCCCTTGGTGTGAGCATTTTCTTATTTACTTCTTAAAAATTAACAACAGAATCTGAAATACAAAGCCCTGATGTGTGGATGCCCTCGGTGTCAAGATTCTTAGCCAAGGAGAAAATGGAAAATAGCAACTTTTTATTTTTGCAAATGCAAAGTAGGTCTTGCAAATTTCAAACCCTGTGGCTGAAAAAAGAAAAAAAGAAAAAGGAAAAAAAAAAAAAAAGGAGTAACCAACTTCCTCCCCTAGTTGCCATTAAAAAAAAAAAAAACTACTAAATAAATCTTTCTGCTTTGGTCAGATTAGCAAGTCAGCACTGAGAATAAAAAGCAAAATAAGATAAAACCAAAGAGAGAAGTTGTTTATTTTTATGTACTACTGAGAACAGTGTCGTCTTGTGGCAGTTCTCGTAGACTGTGTTGGTTTAACAAGCGTCCAACCCTTTTGTCTTGTTGTTTTTTGTCTTTCCTGCTCCCTGTCCCCTTGTTTCCCACAGGCTGTGCGTTTGTCACATTTTCTACAAGGGCAATGGCACAGAATGCAATCAAAGCCATGCATCAGTCTCAGACCATGGAGGTACTGTATCATCTGCCCTTTCTTTGTTTTCTTTGTGCAAATGATGGGGAATGGTAAAGCAATTCTCTCCTGTGTGGATTGTTCACATGACAATCACAGATTTAAACTTTCACCATCTTGCTTTTTATCCATTCATTTTCATCTTCCTCCTACTCTCCCTTCCTCCCTCTCTTTCCCTCTCCACCCCACTTTCCTCTCTGTCTCTGCTCTCTCTCTTCCTCTTCTCTCTGCATTTTCCCCCTAATGACTTGAAATGCATTTAGTAAAAAACCTTCCACTTTCTCTACTGTTATCTTTTGAGCCTTGTATGGAGCAGCCCAGGTCCTGCAATATAGTCACTGGGCACTTTAAGCAAAGTGTCCTTCTGGACCTAAAAGATCAAATGCATCCCTTCCCCAGGGTTGGYGTGGGTGAAACAGCTACAGCCCCCACCCACAGTGCTGCTTGCCCTGTACTAAGTCAAAAGGTTCTCTTTTCAATGCAGGACCAACCTACCTGTAATTTAGTCAGATAAAATTGTGGTTTTGCATGTTAAGAATGGTGGAGAAAGTTAACCCTTCTCCCACTTCACAGCKTGATGCTAATTTATGAGAGTCCCCAGAAAAAAATTAGATTGGTCTCCGTACTTAAAGATGAGCAATAGCAAAGAAACCCTTTATGAAGGCTCAAATTTGATCTCTTAATGAGATGAGAGTGACTTTAGGGAAAGATAAACACTCAGATGTGGATGCATACCTACAAATGTAGATAGATGGTTCTATATTTTAGTCTGTGATTTGGGTCATGGCCTTTCTAAATTTTGCACAAAAGCATTCCAAGAGTGATATGCCGTTACTTATTCTGTACTGTCTGATAGAATCATTTGGGAGTGCATGTTCTGCTGTGTTCTGTACACTGTATATCTTTGTGTGTGGGTGATCTCTAGAGGTGGTGGCCTTGTGGTATTATCTGAAGCTATGTTTTTTTCATTTTTTGAAAACAAAAAGATATTTTCAATTTTATTTAATGTGCAAAAAAAATATTAAATTGTTTGAGCTTCTTTTGTGCTCCCATTTTGTTGGGGCTTTATTTTTTTTGTTTGTTTGTTTTTGTTTGTTTTTTTTGCAATGCTGCACCTCCCAAAGCATGCTGGGAGCTAAGTGATCATTATGCGTCTTGTTTTGTGGGCAACTTTTTTGTAGTGAATCAAAAAGCGGGTGGCAAGGGGGAAGGAGTGTGCATGGCATTGTCATTAAGTGTTTACTGTACTTTTCTGAGTTGTGATATCAGCATTGCAAAGCCTACTGTCTTTTGAACATTCATTTTGACTTTGATATTCCTAACATCCTATATAATCGATGTGTTTTCCTTTCAGTGCAATGCATTTTTAAGACACTCCCTCCCCCCTACCTGAAGGCAAGCTCAGGTGAAAATCGGCCACAATAGGAAATGATTAGCAGGATTTGAAATCTCTAGGAATCCAATCTCGTACAACATTGCAGTCACATATGTGATAATGTTTTGGTTTCCCTTTTTCTCGTAGGCCACTCCATTATTTGGGATTTCCAGCTATTTTTCAACTTGGAGATTAAAGTGAAAGTGCTGTTAGGGGAAAAAAAATTACCTGAATTGATCTTTCATAGATGTGTTTCATTCTTAATTATTTTTGTTTCCTGTAATTTAGGGATTTACATCCAATTTGGTCTCTCCTTAGTGAATTTTTTAACCTAAGTCCTTTCAGCTCTGTTAGAAACATTGCCATCCCCTCCCTTCACTCAGAGTCCCCAAGTGATGATAGAGACTATGGATGGGGCCTGGGTCTCCAGTGCTCCTCTAGGAGATCATAAGCCAGCACTAGACATGAACCAAAACGGAGGAACACAAGGCTTTCATCCTGGAAAGACCCATTAGAGGGAATGGGGCCTATTTATTCCTAAGAAATCCTTGATCCTTTATCATTAATATATCTGTTGTTTTTAAAATTGGACATCAATGCTTAAACAAAAGGACCCCCAGACACTTTAGTTTTTAAAAATTGACATTTAAGTAGAAGATTATGTGCTATGCAATTACATTATAAATACACAACTGAAGTTGATAGTTTAGCTTTTTAACTAATTACATTATTTTCAGGACTCTGGCATACATCTTTAACCAAGATGTATTATTTAATTTAAAATGATGTGAATATTATAAGAATAAAGTCTTTCAAACACTTTTACATTGTACCTTCTATCTCTCCACCTCCCTGCACTCTACTCCCATTTTCTGTTTCATGATTTAAATGAGCCATTTTAAAAGCCATAATCATTGGTCTAATCTTCTGCCTTTATATCGCTTTTTTAGTATTTTAAGCAAGAAAAAAAAATAAATGTACTATTAGGAGGAGATGCCGTTATTTGTTAGGGACACATTTGATACAACAGTAACACCTCTTTTTCCATGCAAAACTTTCTCTCTCTGCTTTCCATTTTCAGAGTATTTTGCCCTCTGTAAAGTGACAAAGTGCCAGGGAAGGTGGCTCAGTGGTTGAGGCCAAGTGCAAGACCCTGGGTTCCATCCCTAACACCACAAATAAATAAAATAAAATGACCAAGTGCTGAAATACGGAGCCAATTTTTAAAATGAAGTACAGATTTTTTTATTAATGGTGGAAATGTTATTTTTAAGCAATTTACTGACACTTTCTGTACCGTGACTCTGCCTACCAGAGCTGAAGACTTCTTAAGCTGGAAGTTCACTAAAACACTCATCTCACATTTCTCACTCCACTCCACCCCAATAACAAACACCAGGGTCTCATGTATTGACAGCTACATCCCAAGGTGATGGGGGAGGGAGGGGTATAAGCTTGTTTTCTACAAGAAACAAAAATGACCTAAAAGGAAAGAAAAGGAAAAGATTATTTAAATAGAATATCACATTTCTAAGAGGAGAGAAAGGGGTCTCTCAGCATGCTGAGTTTCAATAAAAGTTTCTGTTTAATCCCTTGAGTAGAATTACTTCTTTTTACCTCAGCAAAATTTAACAGCTCTCACAGTGACGTAGTGTGCAGACAGGCCACACCAAGACACAGAAAGAGCCAGGGAGGTAGGAGGCCTATTTCTGCTGCGTTCTTACCAAGTGGCAGCAGTTTTAAAGGTGCTTAGGAAAGAAGCATGGTGCTTGAGGTACTAGGCCAGTTATTTCCCCCAAAGAATGTGTCTGCCTCCAAAACAAAATCATCCTAGAATAGGGTCTTTGGCCATTTCTCACTACCCCTGCTCTCTGCCTTTTCAAGGACATTAAAACTGAAAAAGCTGCTAGAAATATAGGTTCGTCAGGGAAAGAAGCCACCCAGAATCCTCCTCCTGCCATTCACAGCATCTCTCCTTTGACTAGAATGTGCTTCTGGTTCTGCTGGTTTGCAGTAGCTCTAGAGACTTTGGATAGAGAGATGTGACAGGGGAGGAAGAAGAGGGGCCTTTCTGAAAACAYGTGAACAGTTATTTTGGTCAGTGCCTATATTTTCTGAATATCTCCTTCCTTCTTCATCCATGTTCCTAAAATGAAACCCACTTCTCTGTTATCATTGTTCAAACGCACGAAACTAAAAATTGGAGGGAGTTTTCAGAAAAGATGAATGAGAGACATTCTTAATCCCCATGACGATGCTGCCCCCTTGTCCTTTGCTCAGGTAGAAACAGGCAGACACACAGAGGCAAGGCCATCTTTGAGACAGCCAACCAYGAAGCTTAGACATAGATCAGGTCTTTTGTCTCAAAGGAGGTCCTGGAAGGCTGAAGGAAGACGCAGGAGGAGAGGAGGAGAGGCAGTATGAGGATCAGAGCAGGAAAGCAACCAGCAGATCCCCCATCGAAACCCAGGACAGGATCTGGAGTGTTCTATTGATAGTACTATTCAGAGAAGAAGAAGGAATATCAAACCATCTTTAAACCATCCCAGACCATTCCATGTGCTCTGAGAGAGATAGATCCGGTGCTGACTGAGGGCCCTGAGAGGATGCGACCCAGCTGTAACTTCCTCTTCACTTTCCAATGTGTCTGACCACAGGGCTGCTCTTCACCGATCGTGGTGAAGTTTGCTGATACCCAGAAGGACAAAGAGCAAAGGCGCCTCCAACAGCAGCTGGCACAGCAGATGCAGCAGCTCAACACTGCCACCTGGGGGAACCTGACAGGGCTGGGTGGACTTACCCCACAGTACCTGGCGGTAAGTGCTCCCCACCCAGGAGAGAAACACACCCTGCCATCCGCGAAACCCCGAAACCCCATTGGCCACTGAGTACACTCAAGAATTCATTTTCCATACATTTTGAGTCTGGAGAATTACTGAAACCACCAAGTATGCAGAATATTCTCCCAAGCTAAATTGGCTAGCATAAGAATGTGACCAACTTAGTCCTTGCCTAACAGGCTGGGCAAAGTCCCCTGGGCCAGACTCCTACCCAGTATGTCAAGGCATCCTAAAACCCTGTGTTCTGAAAAAAGACACAGCATGCTTAATGGCCCATGAGCTAAGAATGTTGACTAGCTGGAAGGTTGATACCTGTCAGGACCTCTTCTGAGATCTYCTGGGACTTTTGAGTCTGCATTTCAAACCTTCCCAGTGAGCCCACCTTGAATACATCAACTGTTTCCTACTTTCTCCTTGTGAAACCAGAGAAATAAGGTTCACTGCAGACCAAACAGACCCATTTCTCTTGGCCATTCCTTAGCATCCCTGCTTTCTAAACTTTTACTTTTTAAAAAGAGTTTCCTCTGTTACCATTTCACTTAGTCATTGTCTCTACTGAAATACAGTGGCCACAATTTAAGCCACTTCCCTAKTAAGAGCAAAATGGGACAGAGTAGTGACCCCTAGTGGATTTAAAACATCTTCCTGGAGCCTGAGAGTGGCATTTGCAGTAACTGTGTCCAATGTGAGCTGGGAGGCATTGGATACTGCTAAATTATATTTTTACTCCAGCTGCTACAGAGTACTTCTCTCTCCATTTTTCTACTTTGGAGCCTAAATGTTAGACTTCACATTTATTAATTTAATTTCATATAGTGAGTCTGGGCCTTTTATTCCAGCCTCAAGAGAAAGAGAACAAACATGCAAGCACATACACACGACGTGTCCTAATTCTGTCATCTTACATTTTAACTATCCCTCTCAGGATTGGATCATCCATTAGCTTTACTTTCTAGCAGAAACTGCACTGTTTTCTAAGACAGTTACCTTGAAAAGGGAGAGTGTCCTATTTGTTGTAGAGATAAGGAAAGGGAGGCTCAGAGACTAAGTAGCTTTACCTTCTTACCCATCCACCCCCAGTGCCCAGAGGGGTCTGCAGTGGAACAGCTGTTGGTTAATGGATGAGACACATGCTCTTCCTGTCTTCATCTGCTTTGTTAGCAAAAGCATTGACCAAGTTTATKGTCACCTTCTGGCCATTTCTCCATCTTATCATTGAAGATACCATGAAAGATTTTGTCAGACATCTTGCTAAAATCTACATATGCTCTACTTAACAATTTGTGTTTTCACAAACTCATGCTGTTGGAATGTTCACAGTCCATCAGTTTGATTGTGTGGACCAGAACTCTTATCCAAGATTGATCCATGCCTACCTTTTCATTGTTGGTGAGAGTCAAGCTTCCTGCTCTACCATTTCTGAGAACCAAAAGGTGAGGCAAGTGCCTGCCCTCAGGATTCCTGTGTCACCTTGCACTCCACAGTTCACAGAAACCTCTGGTGCATGTCTCTGTGACCACATCTGCCAATTATTTGCATACCTGAAAAAGAATTAATTTTAACATCATTTATAAAAATGTGTTGCTATAAACTCTCTTTTCTCTCCTGATAGGCCCAGATTCTTTCTTATCCATGTTCGCTTGACCCCTTCCCTTTGAAAGTCCTGTCCTCTGTCATTGATTAGAAAGGGCTCATGGAATTTAAGGCATCCCCTGCCTCCATGGGGAGCCCAAATGCTGGCCCTGGCTCACCAAAGATTACTTATCCATGGAAATAATCCTTGGTGATAGTTTCATGACAGTCCAGGTATTTTCCCTTACCTCAACAGATGTTATTAATTTCTCAAAATGTCTTCAAAGCTAATTTAATTTTACAACTTTAATTTTTTTTTAAATATTTATTTTTAGGTTTTAGGTGGACACATACCTTTATATTTATGTGGTGCTRAAGATCGAACCCAGTGCCTCATGCATGCTAGGCAAGTGCTCTGCCACTGAACCACAACCCAGGCTCTACAACTTTAATTTTTAAAAACATCTAATGTTTAAAAACACCACGCTTGGTGTTTTTACATCACTTGATACATGCTCATTTTTGAGTCTCATCCAACCATGGAATTTTTCTTATCAAACAAAAGAAACCTTTACTTACCCATAGGAACATCAGTGTTCTATGTTGTTTCACACAGCTCCAAATAAGTTCTGAAAGCTTTTTCTAATGCATCTTGGAATTTTTCCTGTTCCTCCTAAGCACGTAGTGCCATAACAATATTCCAGTAGTAATTTGGTAAATCTTTATCTGTTGGTATCCAGGTACTTTGGAACATGAGAGGTAACTGTGTTCCATCCTCATAATATAACACCTAAACTAACCTACAGCTCAACTAAGTTGGATGGGAACTGGAACCCCCCTCATGCCTTAACCTGTAACACCCACTGATTCTATGTGGCAGGAAAAAGGTGTTTTCAGGGGAAAATGCAGACTTTTTAACAAGCATATTCATTTCTTTTAAAAAAGATTCTGATATATAATGCATAGCTTCAATATACAGACAGGTAGCTAATTCCAAGTTTTGACAAATAATATGTTCTCTCTGCCAGTGCAGACCATCTTAAAGTAGCTGACCATTTTCTCGGCCATATGGATGTGGCTGTATGTGTAAGGGTGTGACAGATACACTTATGTCGATAGTTATCATGATGATCTTCATGGTGGCCTAAGAGTCAGTAACCCAAGTGCTTCTGATGAGGGATAAAGAAAGCTAAACTGTGARGAAAAGTAGAAGAGGAGGGGATGGACCTTGATTGACAGAGATGAGTTATGGTAACTACTAGACTACAGAGAGATATAATTAGTCATGCTATGTTGGTTTCAATAGATTTAACACCTGGTTGTTAAAAAGAGTAAATTGATTAATTGTTTTAAGGCAGCAGTGTTAGTGAGTTTCCCCAAGTGTCTGTGTTTCTTAATAGAGATTAGACATTAATATGGATTTACAGCCCCAGCTCTGGGGACCTTCAGTCCATCAATTGCAGCAGTCGCAACCGGCCACATAAATGTAAAGGARGAGAGTTTGCCGGCACTTTAATGAGGAAGTTACTTTGTCCTCATCTMTGCAATGTTCTGACTTGACACTTGTGTGCTCATTTGCAGCTTCTGCAGCAGGCCACCTCTTCCAGCAACCTGGGTGCATTCAGTGGCATTCAGCAAATGGCTGGTAAGTCCTGAAGCCTGTCTTTCCTTTTGACTATGCAGTTGTCGGGGTTCATTCAGAGGGGCAGAGAAAAGAAGCAGGGAAAAAGAACAAAGCGTAATTACCAGACTTATTAGCTTTCTGTCTTAGGTGTTAAAATTGGAATCAGTTGCTCCCGAGTGGTTCTTCTACTTTTGCATTTCCTACCTACCCTTCCATGTGGGTAACAGTTATAAGGTGAGGGGGCTAAGAATTCCTCTCTAGGATGCTCTGTAGTCATTGTTTGTTGTTGTTGTTATTTTAATGGGATTGATTACTGGAGGATTTCCAGCAAATTTCTATATCCAGTACAGCCAAAATGATTGACATACCTCTAACATTTTAATAATAGGCAGTCAATAAAAATGTTCTGACCTCCATAATGAAAGCCAAGATTGCAGTCCTATATTTGATACAGTTGTAGTCCCTTGATAATGACAGACAATTAACAGTGTGCCTTTTTTTTTTTTACTTTAGTACCCCAGTTGACAGAATTGTGCATCAGAAGCTTTTATGTAAAAGTATAATCTTTGTTCTCAAGAAAATCAAAGTGCGACTGCATTTGAAAGGCAGCTCATTGAAGGATTCCTTTTCATAATGAGCTGTGCCAGTAGTTGCTGAGGCGCAGTGATTAGTGAAAGGTCACTCCTACTGTGCCACCGTCCATGCTGATACCCTACCTTTACACGGGGCCAGAGCAGGCAGCATGTGCAAGAAATCAGAACACAGGTGCCCATTAACCTGCTGGGAGGAACAGTTAGGAAGCTTTTYCCTTGTTTGATTCCGAAAGGGTGGGGTAGGGGGGGATAAGTAAAAAGAACAGATTTTTGGCATATTAGAGTGAAGCACAGTTTGCTTTTATCAAGGACACCCTGAATCAATGAAATGAAGCCTAAGCATGCTACATAAAAGCCAGATTTCTTTACCTGTCACCATGAAAACTCATTTTTCTCACATTTTTTTTTGTTCAAATGCCTATCCTTGTTTTTTTTTTTTTTTTTTCTTGTTTTCACTTTGAATCTGAAAAGATTTTCCCTGTGCATTCTCCCCATGTGTCTTATGACCTTCAGCCCAGCCAGGATGGTGGTCYGTGGGCTAATGGTAACTTGTTGTCTGATGGTATGCTTTGGCCTACATCAAAAATACTGCTGAATGATTTCTTGGGCTTCAAATCAATTGGCATCACCTGTTTAGTTAGCTGTAATATAGCTTTTAGGTTATTGGGGRAAAAAAGGTGTCTGGAAAACATAGTTAAATTAGTGCAGTATATTTACAAATAGCTTGGGAAGCTCGTCTTGGAACTAAGAATCACATTGAATGATTAATTTATTTTTTAATTCTATGAAGAGAACTGGAGCAACATTTGTAAAATTTTCAGGAGCCTTTTTATTTAAAAGAAAAAAAAAATGGCATACCCTAAAATAAATGCTAAGACCTGTGACGTTTTTCAGCTGATTGGAGGTTTGTTTCTCTTTACACGGACCCACCCAGATCCAAAATTAGGGGCTTTCCTTAGAGGAAGCCTCAGGCTCTCTCATTTCTGCACCTGAATAATKCAGAGAAGGTCACTTAGTCCTGAGGCTACTGCGGAGCTTGTCTCCCCAGGTGGATGGAGGGCCCTGTCATTTGTCATTAGGATGTGTGCACCTCAACCATGCCAACCACAGGTCAGGACATTAGCATCTACATGTTCCACATGCTCATCTGAAAACTAAGAGGGTCTGGGACTCACCTCAAAAGGTGCCATGTAGCAGATGGCTAATTTAAAAGCCTTCTGTAAATGCTCTGGGCTTTCCAAAATACCCATTTCTTGACCCTTCAACTTGTTAAATTCAGCATGCTAAGTCTTCCCAGGCTGTGAAATCAAATGCTGACCTGTCCATTTTCTATCAACCTCTTGAATATTTAAAGTTTTCAAAATTTAGGTGCCAAAAACTCTTGTCTTCTTGGGTGATTTCTATAAAAGTCACCCCCTATTTGTATGGGTAATCACATCTCATCTTCCTAAGGATGTGAAGCATTATGGTTTAGAGAACTCTCTTTTTTCCAGTTTAAAAAAAAAAAATGGCCTCTCCCACTCCTGTCTTTTCCCAAAAGCTGGGCCTCACTTGTCTTTGCCATTAACCTACACCAGTATTACGAAGTGGTCATGGTGGGTTGGGAATAGAGGTTATTTCCTAGAAGAAGCTTTGCCCGACTTCCCCAGGTGTGGGAGGGGTGCTTTCTTTCCCAAGCCCCTCCCTTCCTTCCTCATATCTGCATACACTCCCTGTTCTTGGTGCTCTTAGCCACTCTGTGAGCTTCAAGAGGGCCTGCCCTGGTGGCTGATGGACTCAGCCTCTAACTCCTCTGTGAGGTGCTCATGGCTAGTTGTGAAGGGATGAATGAATAAATCTGTAAGTGAACAGATGTAAATTTGTATTTTGTATGCATTCCCAATAGAGCTTAAGTTAAATGAATGAAAGAAATTTGGTTTTAGCCATATATATATATATATATATATATGTGTGTGTGTGTGTGTGTGTGTGTGTGTGTGTGTATATATATATATATATATATATATATATATAAAACAAACTAAGAATTTTTGAATTAAGAATTTTGGTTAGCCATGTATATACATAAACAACAACAAAAAAATTATATAAACTAAATTCAATATCTTCACAAATGAATTGTTGGGCATTTGGAGGTAGTGTGTATACTATAAAACATGTTCTAGAGCACATTCTGTATAACAGATACAAGCAGAAGCTATATGATAACAGTATCCAGGGAGCCCAAGAGGTCATTTATCTACAATCCCACCTGATATTAAAGTGTGTATTGATGGACTGAGGGTGTGGCTCAGTGGTAGAGTGTCTGCCTGGCATGCACAGGCCCTGGGTTTGATCCCCAGCACCACAAAAAAAAAAAAAAAATTGTTGAGTGACTGATATTGTGACATAGTGAGAATGAACACATACACAATTCATATGCAATTTTTATGTATTAAAGTGGCATATTAAAAAACTCCACATATAAAACTCAAGTACTCCCGCTTAGAATACTATCACCAAAGAGAATGAAATATTTTGGAAACCATAATATTTTGCTGTGAATAGCTCTCGACACATAATGGCCTGTCCTTCAGGAGATTGAGGTTTATAGTTAGAGTCTTAAAATCCCTCATTTATATGAGTAAAGCAGTTTCTGCTTGAGGAGAAAATAAAGTAAAGCCAAAAAAAGAAACAGAAAAAGAAATTTTAGACGACAAGTTACTAAGTAGTTGCATCAATAAAATCTAATGAGACATCAGCTATACTTTTTTCCCCAAAATAATCTTAACCATTTTCCTTTCAAATTCAAAATATCTTTAAATGTGTTTTATTATTTCTATAAAAGGGAATCTTTACTAAATATGGAATTTAAAAGTAGAAAATGGATTAGGATCAAATCTTTTATCAGCTGAATCCTTTTATGTATACATACRACTGTCCTCTTTGAAGGTGATTGATTTTATTTTCCCTCTTAAAACTTCTAATAAAAACTTGGCCATTTCTCACTCATCAGTGGTATTTGTTCAGTTGAATTTCTAAAATATGGGAAACCTGGGGCCTGACATTAGGCGAAGGATTTGGATTTTCCTTGAAGGAATAAGGGAAAAGTAGCTTTTTGACCTTTAATTTCGTTCTAACAACTATCACATCTGTGAAAATCATTCTGATAGAAAAAAAAAGTTTGCAGGTAACCTAGATCCTTGTAATCATCATGCAGTTTATTCCCACAGTGTGCCAAGGACCAAATCAGTGCTTTGTTACCAAATTACAGCTACAAACATGGAAGTACAAAAAGGTTAAATAAGTTATGGGAGACGACAGCACCAGTAAGAGGCACGATATAGATTCAAATAACTCAAATCTCACAACTTTATGACGGAGGGGTTATCATACCCCATTTTATAGGTGGTCTCTTTAACCTCGATTAATAAACTTACCCCAAATCACTAAGCTAGTAAGCATGGATCCTCATTTTCAGTCCAACCTAGCCTGATCCAATACCTGAGCTGTCTGTGGCCTCCAAACTTATAAAACACAGAGCCTCCCTCTCCCTACCCCATTATGAATCAGCCTACTATGGGAGGAATAGAGGAACTCTACATAGAGCAGAGGGGTTGGAGGGGAAGGGAGGAGGGCATGGGGTTAGAAACGATGGTGGAATGTGATGATCATTATTATGCAAAGTACATGTATAAAAACACGAATTGGTGTGAATATACTTTGGATACAACCAGAGATATGAAAAATTGTGCTCTATATGTGTAATAAGAATTGTAATGCATTCCTCTATAAATATATATATATATGTGTGTGTGTATGTAGAAACACGGAGCCTCGTGTCTCAGCCAGTTCAGGTAATGTCAGCATAAATGTACGTGCTGCAGTGATTGACTACAGGAACAATTTAACAGGCCAAATAATGAGTTGAATTCCAGCCTGAGCTAGAACCCCATAACTATTAAAAAGGAAGCAATTCAGAGAAAGTAACTGGAAACTGCCTCCYTTCATTCTGGAAAATATTTCCAGTTTTTTAAGAGTAGGTCATTCTTCGTTGGAGGGGGATTTTTTTTTTTTTTTAGAATGAGGAATTCTTCTTTAAAAAAATTATAGATATTTGAAGTTATAGGTGAAGAGAAATTATCTGTTGATGAACAAGGGAAAATGCTTCCTTTAAATTCTGATTTTCAGTAAAGCTGATGGTAATTCTCTTTCAGATTACCTGGTCTAGAATTTTTTTAAAWTATTTATTTTTTTTAGTTTTAGGTGGACACACTCTCTTTATTTTACATTCATGTGGTGCTGAGGATCGAACCCAGTGCCTTGTGCATGCTAGGTGAACGCTCTACCACTGAGCCACAACCCAGCGCTAGAATTTTTAAGTTAACAAAATTGCAGAATACAAATGTTTGCTTAAAACAACAAAATAGCTCTCCTTTTATCAATTTG